TTCTCAACGGTTTTGCCTATTTAAACCCACCTCCTCTCCTCTCATTCCTCCTCCCACTCCTTCGTTCTTCAATACCTTTAGCATTGTGCTCTCTGTCTCTCTCTCTGTCTCTCTCTCTTCCCAGAGTTCTCTTCTTGCAAGAAAGAAACTCTCTCTTTCTCTCTAGTTCATCAATTTGGTATTGGCATTCTAATCTGGTAAGTCAAATATTCAATCTTTTGATCAAATGCATTTCCAACCCATTTTTTGGAGATTTGGGTTTCCTTCAAACATCATTTATATAAGCAAAAGTGGTTCATTTCATTTCATATGACATCCACCTTGCACAAAATTTTTGGTTCTTAGATCAAATCCAATCTACACCAAATGAACCCAATCATTATCTAAAGCAATTCATACATTGCGGCTCGCCCAATGAACCCAATAATTTTTCTTGTGATTCAAATTAAATATAGTTTTAAGTTCTAAAAATTTATTGAATGAGTTGTTCTTGTTCCCTAAAGTTATGATACACTACTGGAAGTGCTTGAAAAAATCACATCAAACTTTGTTTAAATTTACTTTCGTTTTTAGTTTTTTGCATTAATCTAACGCCTGATCTTACAAAGTAAATACAACTTTTACTAGGTTGTAATATAAATCTATATCCAAACCTAAATTCCCATAAAGACATTGGTCCACCTTCTCTCTTGATTCAATTTATAGTAGCGGCTGTGGATTGTCCATTCAGAAATTAAGAAACCCTTATCCAATTCCAAGCTAAGCTATTAGGTATTGGCCTCAGATTACTCACCTTTGAAAACCCTTTTCTTCTTTTGGTGGTAATCTGAGTCAATTGGGGCCACAAATTTTTTATTTTTTTTTGTCATCCATATATGATGATGGATAAGTTTAGTTTGAGACTGAAAATGAAACTTGATATAAACTTGTGTCGATTTAAGCTTTCATGGAACTTAGTGTTCACTTCTCTTCGCTGTTTTGTGAAGGTTTCCTGAAATGGAATTCGACGATCGATTCATGCAGGCTCAGAGGACAAAGTTCGACTGCCTTTTGTTCGGTAAGCCTTTTAATTTTGGAAATTTATGTACGAATACGAGTTCACTTGTAAAGCAATCATCTTAGACCACTATTGTTTGAACTTTTGCAGATCTTGATGATACACTGTATCCCTATTGTAGTGGCATTGCTACAGCATGCAGAATCAATATAGAAGGTAATACTTTTCATTCTAAGTTAGGCCTTGGAACGTTAGGCCAGATGACTAGGGTAGTTGAGGAAACCTTCCGTTCCGCATTTTTCATATCAATATAATTTGTACTGATGATTTCCCTTTTTCTTTTCCTCCAGATTATATGGTTGAAAAGCTTGGCATTGACAGGAGCATAATCCCTGAGTTGGGTAACCTTCTGTACAAGAATTATGGAACAACAATGGCTGGTCTCAGGGTACTTCTTCCCATATTTTTGGCATTTTATTAATTTATTTCTAAGCTTTTCAAATGAATTATGCATAACTTTGGGGGTCCTTCTTTGCAGGCAATTGGCTATGACTTTGACTACGATGAATATCACAGTTTTGTCCATGGAAGATTACCTTATGAGAACATAAAACCGGACCCGGTTTTGAGGAGCCTCTTGCTGAACCTGCCTTACCGGAAAATTGTAAGCACCTACTGTGTAACCGGTTATTTATTCCCTTGTCTCTCACATCACGTGACAAGAGTTTGAAGCTTTTTTCTTTATGCTAATTATTTCTGTTTTATTTGTGAAACAGATTTTCACAAATGCAGACAAGATCCATGCTGCTAAAGCACTAAGCAGGCTTGGATTGGAAGACATTTTTGAAGGGATTATCTGCTTTGAGACCCTCAATCCGATTCACAAAAACACGGTCTCTGACGACGAAGATGACATAGAATTCGTGGGATTAAGCAGCACTACCACCACTACTAGCAGCTCCCAGATTTTTGACATCATTGGCCATTTTGCTACACCAAACCCCACTTCCAAACTACCCAAAACTCCAATTGTCTGCAAACCATCCGAAGATGCCATCGAACGGGCTCTCAAGATAGCCAACATTAACCCTCAGAGAACAGTAAGAAACTTTTCTATTTTCTTCTCAAAATTTGAATATCTCCAGGTTCTTTAGATTATTCACTTATGCCTATATTTGGTTGGTATTTTTGGCTCTTTCAGTTGTTCTTTGAAGATAGTGTCCGCAACATACAAGCTGGCAAAAGAGTGGGACTTCAAACTGTATTGGTAAGCTATTGACAACTTTATAACAAAAATATTCACATGCGATTATACTTACTCACATACAACGGATCTCATCACAACTCCGAAAGAAATAATCATCAATCAACTTGTACAGCAGCACAGGTTGGCAAAGTTGGTCATAAGCTGATGCGATCTTATTGTCACTATTGAATGTTACAGGTTGGCACATCTCAGAGAGTAAAAGGTGCAGATTATGCTTTGGAAAGCATTCACAACCTCAGGGAAGCAATACCAGAGCTTTGGGAGGCTGATAGGAAATCTAAAGTTGGTTACTCTGGGAAGGTTGCCGTGGAGACATCCGTCACAGCTTAGATTTGTGCCCTACATCCACTAAGTTTTTATGAGGAAATATTCATGTTTTTGGGATTTTACCATCCCATTTTTCCTCATCATTAAAAAAAAATATCTCATTTTCCTTGTCTCATTGTGATCCGATGTTAATTATAATAAAATATATATTGTATGCTTTCGTATTGTAAATTTGAATCAAACATTTAATACTAAAAAATTTTAAATAACGATTCACGATGAATCAATTTAATAATATGACAAACTCAAATGACGATTCCCAAAATTGTTTAATAATAAAATGAAGGGGGCACATTATACAAATAAAAAAACACCTTTAAATAGTTATACTTTCCAAGCCTATGAGCCACTACATTTGCTCGTACCAAATCAATTAGTTTAATAACATCACGCATGTCACACTCTCATGATTAGAAAAATTCAAATAACGACTCATTTAAACATTTCGTTCTTTAAAAAAAAAAAAAACCAGAAATACCACAAAATTAAGAGCTAGTCAATCAGTATAATTACTTTGCGTTAACGTGTATCACATTGCCGTGAATAAAAACATTCAAATAACAATTTGTCTAATTAAATAATTTAATATATAACATAACATTAACGTATACCGCACTGTTGTGATTAGGAAAATCACGTGCCTCTTACTCCTGATGTAAGGGAGTCAAAATTTAATCACAAGTACAATTATTAGTGGAACTGCATGCTAATCCCGCTAGGTATACAATAATCATAAGGTGTGTGTGTGTGTACGTATTTTAGTCGACATTTGTAATGAAAGCGACATACTCAATAAACTCATATTAATTATAATTAACAACTCAATTGTGTAGCATGATTGATGCGCAAGAAACAGTGTGGGAAAATGATGTGTTCAAGATTACAGGTGAATATTATATGCGTTTACTGTTTCAAAAGTCTACTCATCATATTATTACTATATTAGTAATATACTTCTACCAATAGTATCACCATATTCTTGAGTCTCTTGATACTACTACTAGACACTTCACACTTGGCATCATTGACTTGGAAAATCACATGAATCTGCTGAGTTAGCCAAAGTAAGAGAGAAATTGAATTAGCTGCGTTATGTGTCCTCAATTTCAGATGCATACTATGAAAAAGCTTCCTTTTTTCATCAGAGAAATAGCCGTTTAGGAAAGGAAACGACATGGCAGTTGGGAAGACAAGATAACCCAGTGTCATGTATTTGTGAGCCCATGATAACTTCAAAATATTAGGGTTTATTGTTTGGTATCTAGATTAGATTAGAGGCATTTTCACCTATATATGGTTTGAATTTTTAAGTCAATGTTAAGTATTTTTAATTTTTTTCATGCTCGTTCCAAGTTCAAATTACCATTTGAATACATGAGAGTCTCTTTTGTTACATGATTTCTTCTTCATATAGGCCTATAGAACAATTACTTAAACATATATTTTGTGCAAGAGCCCTTCCTATCTAAGAGAAAATTGCCCCATGATTACATACCGGTCTTACTTGGGATCGCAAATCCCAAGTTTGTATCCCAGAGTATTCAGAAGTTTGCATTAATATTTCTCCACTTTTTTCCTTACGTTGTGATCGAATCATTTGTCGTATTGGTTAATAGCCTAAATTTATTTTAACCAACTATCTTCTGAACTTTTTCAAATAGTCAATTTCCTCATCGTCATCAGATTTTTAAATTTTTCACCATTTCGTTCATATTTGTCATGTGCACAACCTACGACCAAATTATGAGCGTAAAATGAATATTCGCCCCACAGTAAATCCAACCATTTAGATTGTGTAGGCATCTTGATCTAACAATCCCTATATAGTATATAACAATGGCTTATCTAAGTATGAGACGTTTTTACCCTTTTAGTTGGCTCACGTGATGCCACGTGAAAAAGATAAAGATGAACGGAATTTTGGATGCGATGTGGAGTAGTCTAATGGTGGAGAAGTAATTAACTATTTATAAACATTCACGAGAGTGATTAGCCAAATAAAAGTTCAAAGTAGAAACTGACATGGTGTACAAGACCAAGGGGTATATAGACATGGTGTTCAATAGTCCGTGAATGATCCCTTACAATTCCTACAAACCAGTAAGAGTTGGTGTAGTTTAAATCTATTCGGTTTTTTCCCGAAACCGAAAATTGAATTGAAATTACTGTACAATTTGGGTTTTTTTTTTTTTTTCCAGTTTTTGTTCGATGGTTTGGGTTTAGGTCCTTTTTTTACTCCAATTTTGTTTATTCTATCAATCCACAAAAGTATCCACAACCTTAAAATAATCATAAAGCCCATCATACAATTATAGAACTAACTAGCAAGAATGCCCACGCTTTGCTCCGGGTTTTCAAACCATGAATAATATTCAGAAAAGAAAAAATAGAAGCTTCACAGCACAATAATTAACCACAATCCTCTGTTTTTCTAAGTGCAAATAGAAAAACGGAATCAAAGTATTCAACCCAAAATCTTCACATTAGCTCAAGAACTATATTGTTTCAAGAGCTTTCCAATTTTCCAGCACTGAACGACAAACATAAAAGCACTAAAACATATAATTGAAAGAAAAAAATAACAATTCCAAGAAACTAAATGTGAAGTTCGGCAGATCTGCACAGTAACACAAACCCATTACTTGAAATTAAGAGCACTGCGGCTCACCCTGAAAGCACCCATTTTCTGATAAGGGAGAACCCTGAAAGCACCCATTTTCTGATAAGGGAGAGAAAGGCCGTTGTTCTGGCTACAGTTTGTCTTCCAGAACTTTATAAGAGCAAGTCACCCTTTCAAAGCCACCGTAAATCGCCAATTTACATCATTTTGCTTGCCTAAAAAATGCAAACAAAAAAAGAAAAAGAAAAATAAAAAGTATAAGATTCAAACATGTTTACAATTACAAACATTTTACAATGCATGTAAAAATTAAACGTTCTCAAGCACCCACGTCTCCGATTCGAGGCTAAAACCCAATTCCACAAAAGAAATCAACAATTTTGATCTTTGGTCAAAACAGAAAAGCCAACAGATCCAAAAGCCCAGAATACAATTATACACATCCTTAGCTTCTATGGAAATCAATAATTCCATATAAGTATACAAAAGATTTTCTTACACGTAATTTCGCAGCTCATAGAGCAATAGTTATACTAAAACAACAATTAATTGAAACCATTGAAGGGTAAAAAAGCAAAAGTGGATGAAAACTTAGAATTCAACAAAGATTGTGTTCCCAATCTAAATACATTATAAACTCCAGCACACCCAGGTCTCCTTTAAGCACTAAAGCTCAGTTCATGTGGATTTTGGGATAAAAAAGGTCCAAAACTTAACAATCCAGATTAGGGGAAACAATTAATCTGTAAAATTAACAACAACTAAACAAATTAACGAACTGAAAACCCACAAAAAAAAAACCCAAATAAAAAAGCAACTGACCTTAAAACAAAGAACAAACAGACATAACGAAGAGTGAATCCCCAAAATAAGAGAAAATGAAACAAATAAGGGAATAAAGAGAGAGATGAATCCCCCAAAATCGGACCTAACGTACTAAAAAATTTGAAAATCTAATCTAACATTAAAGAATCCACTTATGTATTGTATTAAACCTCAAAGACACCTCCACCTTCCAACTGAAGAGCTTAGTCAACATACCACCTCCTAATATAAACACTTGCTTATAAATATGATTTATAAATAGTTTTGATCTTAAACAAAAGAATGGATGTATCCCTTCCCTTTTTTTTTTGGTCTGAAGGTATCCTTTCCCTTTAAAGGTTGCACTGCCCTAGAAGTAAACTCATTATGATGAAAGTAAATGATTTCACATAAAACAATTGTAGCCTCTAACAGTTCAGCACAAACATAAATTATCATGATTCATACCTCTACGCCGATATGGAATTTATAAACTGGACAAAAGGAACCCGATTTCATCGACTTCACAGTGCAAGTGCTGTAAAAAATAAGCAAACACTGGCAATATGATCAAACACATTCCAGGTATTAATACATCCAACTGCGAAACAAATGGCAATATGATCAACCACATTCCAAGAATTAATACATCTAACAATGAAGGTAGAGATTGCTTGCAGAAAAGATGATTGCAATTGAGTAAATCCGCAGAACTCAGCAGACTCAAACTGCAAAACAGATGGGGAAAAATCAAACCCATTAGCAGAGTGAAGAGAAATTTTAAATCTTTAAACGAATTCTAGACAAAATCATGTAAAGGAATTAAATGTTGCGGATTATAAATTAAGAAATTAAAAAAAAAAACCATTTAAATTTGTTGACTTGCCGGCTTCCCATCTGGTTGTAGAGGCTGCAGATAGTGCTGTCTTCCTCTTCAGTGAAGCTTCCATGTTTGATGTCTGGCCTCAGATGGTTTAGCCACCGCAGACAGCAGCTCTTCCCGCACTGCCTCAGACCTACAAAGTGTAGAAAAATTAATAAAGTTGAGAACTTTTGCAGAGATTGGCAAAGAAAATAAAACCCTTTTCTCATTTCTCCTAGAACAGAATGGAGTGCGCCCCATGATTGCTTACTGTGTGCCCTCACTCACTCCCTAAGGAGCAAGGAATTAAATATCGATATTATCGGCGAAATATCGCCGATAATATCGTTTTTTTCCAACAGCGATATTTTCAGAGTATTCCAATTGATTATCGTGATAATATCGCGATATTATTGATAATATCGATAATATCGCGATATTATCAATAATATCGCGATATTATCAGTAATATCGATAATATCGCTCTCTCTCTCCGTCGTCGGAACGGCAGCCGAGCTCCTTCGTCGCAGCTGCCAAGATCTGCGCCTCTCTCTGCCAAGATCTGCGCCTCTCACAGGTGGTGATGGTGCTCGCCGGAGTGTGCGCCACGGTGGAGGTCACGGTGTCATCCGCCATTCTCGCAGAGGCTGGAGAGAGAAGACTGATGATGTGTGATGATGGTGGTGTCGTCCTTGAGCTGCTCGAGTCGAGCAGATGGTGCTGCTACTGTGTGTGTGTGGTCACAGCAAGAGAGGGAGAGAGGTAAGAGGATTTTGAGAGAAAAAGAGAGAGACAGTGCAGAGAAGAGAGAGAGAGAGTCGAAATGGGAGAGAAGGAAATGGCTTGGTCCCTGATGTGGATTTGCACTTTGAAGTGTGTCTGTGCGTGTGTGTGTGTAGAAGTGTGTGTCTATGCGTGTGTGTGTGGAAAGGAAAGAAATAATAGAAAATGAGGGAGTGGGGTGTGTTTGTGCGTGTGTGTGTGTGTGGAAAGGAAAGAAATAATAGAAAATGAGGGAGGTAGTACATCCCACGTGAAGAAGGAAGAAAGGTAGTAGAGATTTGATGGGTGCGGCAGTATGTCAGAATTAGGGTAGATTTAAAAACTAAAATATGAGTTTTACTTGAAAGTTGTAGTAAATTATTATATATAAATGATTATGGTGTGTTTAATTTTTTTTTCATTAATTACTATATATTTTATTCACTCACAGTGTTTGCCAGCTCGCTGTATAATCAACTTAAATCAGTTAAATCCATCATGTAATGCATTTTCTTCCAATTTTTTGTGATAAACTAATAGATAATTGACTAAATAAACATCCTGCAAAGTTTCAATAAAAATTTCCAAGTTTTTCTTACAATTTCCGTGGTTTCCATGTAATTTTTATCGATATCGATATTATCCCGATATTTCCATCGATATTTCCGTGTTTTCGGACTACCGATATTTCCGATATTACCGATATTTTCTTCCTTGCTAAGGAGCAACCAGACACAGACACAGACAACAACTAAATTGCAATTTCAAAACAAAGGTAACTTTTGTTCTTCAAACCAAGAACCACATATGCATACCAAAATGATGATGCTGCGATGGGAGTCCAAACTAAACAGCCAAAAAATAGAGAGAACAAGAGTAAGAATTCGAACAGAGTTCATGTGGTTATATTTATATTGTATAAATGACTCTTAGCTTGTTTTGCTTCTTGCAGGCTTATGGGATTCAGGAAAAATGTGTTATTTAGTTCCTCTCATAGAACTAAAGAGGTGTTTTCTATAGACCTAGAATATATGGAATCTCTACCCAGCAATAAAAACAAAGAACATCACATAGGCAACAGAAGCCGAACAGAAGTCCCACATTTCACACCCAAATCATCACATCAGTTCGAAACATTAAACCATAAGAACTAAAATTAATAATAACAGTACCTTGAACTGAACCCTCAGGTCAGAACCTCCTGCTTTGCAACCTGAAACAAACGAAAGAAATTAAAACCCATGAACCCACAATCAGATAAAAACAATTTTCCAGGAAAAACAAAACCAAGATTGGTATACTAAAAACCATAAGATCTATAACCTGGAAAAATAAATAAAAAGCCACATAAAAAAAACCCAAAAAAAAAAAAACTAATGAAAAGAGTTTGAAAACTTTGAGTCTTAACGATAAGGACAAAATAAAGAGTAAAGTGAATAGTATCAGGATTGACTTTTTAGTATAAAAATATGGTTTTTCATTAAAATAAACAGTACCGAGAGCTTTTCGTTAAAATTTCCTTAATAAAAAAAGCAACTGATCTTAAAACAGAGAACAAACAGACAAAAAGAGAGATGAATGTCCAAAATGAGAGAAAACAAAACAAATAAGGAAAATTAATATCTCTGATGAATCCCCCAAAACCTGACCTAACACACTAAAAATTTGAAAATAATCCACAACAAAAAGGCAGAAACAATGACAATCTAAACTGACAGTAAAAAAACGAATTAAAAAAATAGGAACTTACCTTTGGAAATCCAAGCATGCAGCGGCAAATCCGGACGACCAGTATGATTTTCTCGGTCCATCACCCATACCCTTCCCCCTCGCTCTCTTTCCATCGCCATCTCTCTCTCTCTCTCTCTCTCTCTCTCTCTCTCTCTCTCTCTCTCTCTCTCTCTCTCTCTCTCTCTCTCTCTCTCTCTCTCTCTCTCTCTCTGAGCCTCCATCCCCCCAAAACCCTCATTGAAGGACAATAAATGAAAACCTACACGGCAACCCCCGAATTTGCTCAAAACCGAGAGGAAAAAATTGCCCTCCCAACCCAACCCAAATCTGATGGGTTTCTTGTACATAAGGTGAAATCAAGGGGTAATCCGTCCTAAATCCTCCAGACAAAATTACCCTTCTAAGTTCTATTAAGTACCCTTCAAACCCAGCCCAAATCTCACGGTTTATTGTAAATGAGATAAAATCAAGTGTCAAACAATTGACTACAGCTGAATGAACAGTCAATTCCTCCTCAATTTTAGAATAGATAATAAGTGGATAAGAGTATATATAGACGACTAATACCATCCAAACTTAAACCTTATTAGTGAAACATAAACACCTTAAACATTCTGGAAAAGAAAAAGACAAGCGAAAAAAAGGTAACTGAATTTAACCTTTCCACCCTTCAAGGGTGACCAAGTGTCATGCCCTAATCTCGAAATATATTTAGGATAGATATGTGAGTCAGGACATAACTGTGTAACTAAAATAAAATTCAAATTGATACATTACTTTAATAAAATACATAGATAAATACCTAATAAAAAAGCTGGTAGGCTCGCAAATCGAAGTGCTTAAATAAATGATAATTAAAGGCAATGAACCTAGTCAATTCAGATGCTAAACTCCAACATGACTGCACTTGAAGTCCTACACCATAGGAATGGTGCACCGGAAAATAAAAATTCGGATAAGTAATGAAGCTTGTGTGAGTAGTTAGCAAGTAACTATGGTTCCAATTATAAATAGGGTTCATTGTTGGAATTAAAATCGAGTACATCTATTGATAGAGTCGGGATTTAGGCTGAATGACCCATGATCACTGCTGAAGGGGAGAATTGGGTTATTTGAGGGTGTGGTTGATTGGACTGTCTACATATCTCAGAAGGAGAATAAAACCACAAATGTAGTTCTAAGAAAGGAGTAAGTATGAAGTATGATACATTAGAATACATCCTCGACGAATAACCTATGGAAGGGCGGTGATGAGATGAGTTCTTCGTGGATGTGTTTACGCATAGATGGCCACGTGTAAAAAGATGAGCCTCTATTAGTCGTAGAGAGAATATAAGAGAGATGTATCTTCAGATGTGATTGATTCCCCTTGATAAATACCCGAGTTAGGGTATTTATAGAGACATTGGGAGTCCTTGTAGGGAAAGTCATACCAGTTAGATCGGGAGACTATTTAGGAAGGAGTTTAGGATAAGCAATCCAATCCTCATAGGATAATGATTAAGTGGCCTAATCACCAAGATATCCTAATTGGACTTGAACTAGAGTTTCTGTACTTGAGACAAGTAATGCAACTTGTGAAATGGATGTCTAACTATGCCTCTACCTAGTTAACCTGTTCGAATACCTTACTCCGATACGGATTAGGAAGCCTAGCTAGTCCGACCGTTTAAACTTCATGGGCTATGTGCATTACGGTCCTTCTTGCCACCCGAGGTGCCTCTCTTGCCATCTATAACTATGCTTCTGAGAGTACTCTGCTTCGAAGATAGATAGTTTCCAATGGACCATAAGCGAACTATCCCAGAATAACTTCTCTGGAATACATAACAAATGACCTTCTGTGAGATCCCAAGGATTTATTAACAATGAAGAGAAATATTTGAAAAAAAAAATGCTTAGCTTATTTATTGAGAAGGTATTCATAAAAAGATAGTGGACATTAATACAAGTTCTTAGCATATTTTCAATTACCTTTCCTAACTGGATGAATTTTTAAGGTAATATACGTGTTGGGCCAATAAATAAGCGTCATGTGGCAGCCAATGAGTGGCTAGCTTGCCACGTGACAGCAACTAGAATCAGACAGTAAAGGGGGTTGTTCTGATTAGGTTAGTGGAAATTTAGCTACATGGCAAGTGATGATTGAACCCAAAGGAATAAGAAGTTGCAAGCAGTGCAAATCAAGAAGATGATGATGCCTATATATACCCTTGTCGAGTTGGAGAGAGAGAGATGGCGAGAGAGAGAGAGAGATCAAAGAGAAAACTCTCATTTCTTTCTTATGCTCTTTAGGTGGAAATAAAGAAAAATCCCAAACCCTAACCATACTTCATCTCAAATTTGATTTCGTTTTCGTCTACGGATATATGGAGAAGAGTACTAGAATCTCAAGATTTTATCAAGGTGGTGAACTCTTGTAATAGAGAGTTGTGCAATGTTTTGGAGCCCATGTAGGGGAAATACGGCAAACTTTTACGGAGATTGTCTATATTAAATTTTGCAAAGTGTTATGTTATTATTATTGATCTTATTGGTTGATTAATGTGATTTGATGCTAATTTGTTAAATGTTTCTCTTGGGTGTATGTTTGTTATTGACTAGGGAATTATGTTTGGTTGAGAATATTTTGTGGTATATGTGAATGATGAAATGAAAGCATTTGTAAATCACTCATGATGTGTCATGTGGTTGGAGCTTCCGTGTTAAGAATGGAATTAGAAATGAGGGTAATGGAAATTATCTTTTGTGTAGTTGAGTCAAACTCTTAGTAGGTACCAAGTCTCAGGTGAGACCACAATGCACAGTTGTTTTTAGGGTAATTTGGGATTGGCGACGAAGAGTTTTGCAAGACAACTAACAAAAAGGGAAATTGAGATGATTGAGTTACATGGGGTTAATTTGTATAATCGGACATTCGAATCACCACTGCAGATGTAAAATGCACGGTATAGGACATGCAGGTCCACGTGTTTTATTATATGAATTAGCGGGAATAGTTGAAGAGTTTGCATTTGCACTCATGCCTTGTTATTGCTAATAATTTGGTATTTTGTTATATTATTTCAAGACACTAAATTTAGTATTATCAATTTACTGTGATAAGGTTATGTCCCTAGTGAGCTGTTGAAGCTCACTCCTCTATTGTTATGTAAGTTTACGAACTAAACTGTCTAAGAGGATAGATGGGATGAGATTGGATTAGATGTGAAACAGAGAAGTTTAATTTATTTATTTTCTTTGTGGCCTTGTAAAGAATTCTTGAGTTTGTTTTTATAAGAGGAATTAATTTTTCACCCCGTTATTTATATTTCTTTATTTATTTTAATTTTTAGCTCGCACTTCAGATTCGAGATTATTTTTCAACCAACCTTGGGTCCGGGGCGTGGCACCTTCAAACTAATTGTTTGACTTAGAGCTAGCTGATTCTGGTTCGTCCTTCTGCTTGTCTCTCAAAGATCTGATCTTTTGGAGTTCCTAACTATATTGTAGACCTATGATTAGAGTTCCACATGCATAGTTGAAAAGCTGGATGCAAAGCGGAATGCACCTTTATATTCCTGGAATGACTGAGATGCCTTAGGAGATATTTTGTTAAGTTTATTTTACTCAAGTCATTAAGCTTGTTAGAGTAAAACACT